GCCAATTTCACAACGTTCACATAAATAATGTTTACATATATTATATATTCTGAAATTGGGAAACTTTTTAGATCTAAATCTCATGCTTAAGCAGCACAGTATACTCAGATGTTCTCCTTTACACTCTTCAAAAATATTGAGGGTTCCAAAAAGCATTTGTTTATGTGGGTTAAACAACATTGTGTTAGAAATTAAAACTGAGAAGTTATTGAAACATTTATTAATAACTATAATAAAATCCATACATGCTTATATAAATAGTATAACTTCAGTGAAAAATAACTATATTTCCCAAACAAAATCTCTTTAATGCCTGGCTTAATAGAGCACAGCTGGATTTTCATGTATGTCTTTGCATTCAATATGTTGCACATGTTGTTTTGGTTGAAGTACATGAAGAAAATCCAGCCTCACGCAGATATGTAGTTGGAAAGGGAAAGAATATTTTAATAACTTTTTTCAGATAACTAAATATAGACAAATGGTAGTTTCTCAAAGGTTAGGTGCAATATGGAATCTGAAATGTTATGAATGAACTTTTTGTATTCTGTTACATTAAAATCCATTGGTCTGTCTTGATTCTTGAATGGATGTTTTACCCATGCATGATTTTGTGACATCATGCATTGGTCATTTGGAAACTATTGCCTCACTAATTTATGCAGATCTTCCAAATGTTGACATACTTCATTGCATAATTTCTAGCAATCACATTTATTAATATCACCCAATTTAATCAGAAAGGTCTTTAAGCATATTGGGAAGGTGTCAAGTCACAGTGGCAGATATATTTTCTAAAACTCTAATTTTCTAATGCCTTAGGAGTTAGGAAAAGAAAATATTAGAACCTATTTGCCTTTGTATCATTTAAAAAATATCTGTGTGGTTTATAATGTACATACATTATATATGTAGAACTTCCTGTATATAATTTATTAAAAAATAAGACGCATATTAAAAAGTTTTCTTGGGCTTCCCTGGTGGCGCAGTGGTTGAGAGTCCGCCTGCCGATGCAGGGGACACGGGGTCGTGCCCCAGTCCGGGAAGATCCCACATGCCGTGGAGCGGCTGGGCCCGTGAGCCATGGCCGCTGAGCCTGCGCGTCTGGAGCCTGTGCTCCAGAACGGGAGAGGCCACAACAGTGAGAGGCCCGCGTACCGCAAAAAAAAAAAAAAAAAAAAAAAAGTTTTCTTATGGGTTAAAAAAACCCTCTAATTTTCTGTTGAAAGCTTGAATTTTATCATTTCAACAAATTCTGCCAGTTGTTTTCCTTGACATGATAGGCGTACCTTGTTCATTTTTGATAAAACGCCTGCCAAATACCCAACTCTTAATAAACATAGTTTGTCTCAATCATTATTTTAAGTCCATGAAAAAAGTGGCTAAGTTCAGCTTGCAACGCAACCATTTGCACAAGTGCTTTACCATGAACTTTGGTATGCAGAAGTCCTTTATGTACCTTTCCCGTGTATCATATAAAATATTGACATGTACTTTAAAGTTGAAGTTTAATAAAATAATTTCTGGGGCATCCCTGATGGTGCAGTGGTTAAGAATCCGCCTGCCAATGCAGGGGACACGGGTTTGAGCCCTGGACTGGGAAGATCCCACATGCGGCGGAGCAACTATGCCAGTGCGCCAAGACTACTGAGCCTGCGCTCTAGAGCCTGAGCCTATGCACCACAACTAATGAAGGCCGTGTGCCCGTGCTCCGAGAAGCCACTGCAATGAGAAGCCCACGCACTGTGATGAACGGTAGTCCCCGCTCACCACAAGTAGAGAAAGCCCGTGCGCAGCAATGAAGACCCAATGCAGTCAAAAATAAATAAAAATAAAATAAATAAATTTAAAAAATTCTATTGCTTCACTGAAGACATTCTAAAGTGAAACTGGCATTTTCAAATAGTGAGTGTATGACATTAGTAAAATTATTACTAGTAATTTTTTGCATACTACTGCTTCTACATCATCAGTGCATATGTCAACACAGTAAAAAGGCAAATAATATCTTAGTTTTATTATGATAATAGTTTGGGCATTGCACATTGACTCCTGAAGACATCTCAGGGGCCCCCCAGGAGCCTTCAGACTATACTTTGAGATGAATTTTTCCTTATCCTTGCTAAAATGCAAATCCTTTTACGATTCGAGGGTTTTTTTGGTCTTGTTCACTAGTATGCCCCCAGGGCTTAGATTATGCCTGGCACATAGTAGGCATTCAATAATTATTTGTTTAATTAATTATGTAATGAAGTAAGCAATCAGAACTATATCATAATAGTGAAGAGCTTATAATCTGCATTACTGGAAACTCATTTTTAAAAAATTAGTTTTGAACAGGTAAAATTTACAATGGGATACATGATGAAAAGTCTCCCACTTTGCCTTCCCCAAGGAACTTAAGCTGTTTTCTCAGAGATAACCACTGCTGTCAGTTTCTTTTTTTTTTCTTTTTAATGTTCTGTACATTTTAATTTTATTTATTTATTTTCATTGGGGTACAGTTGTTTTACAATGATGCTGTCAGTTTCTGATGTATTTTTCCAGTGACATTTTATAGATTCACAAGCATATTCCTTTCTTCCATCACATACTTTGTGGTATACTACACACAATCTGGACTGAATAGTGATTTTTTTTAAATAAAATTTTTCTTTTGGAATAATTTTGTATTTACAGAAAAGTTTTAGAGAATCTTGTATACTCTACTCACTTCTACTACTGTTAGCATCTTACATAATCATAGTACCATGTCAAAACTAGGAAATTAACATTGCTACAATACTACTAACTAAATTACAGAATTTATTCAGATTTCACTAATTATGTCCTTTTGGTTCTAGGGTCCAATCCAGGATACCACATTGCTTTTAGCATAATGCTCTTTTTCCCTTAGAATGTATTTTGAGGATCGTCTCAGGTCAGTTTATTTGCAGCTGCCTCATTCTCTGGAAGGACTGTAAAAATGGACTGAAAGTGGAATTTCAGGACCAATGATTATGTGCATTTAAAAATTACCAAACCTCTCTTCCCCAAAGAAATTAGCATACCCTTCTAATTAGTCTCCCAGTGATTTGAGTGTTGTAAATTTCTTTGAAGTTCCAAGATTAATATTGGGGACTGAATGAAGGTGATAAATGTAAAGTATTCAAAAAATTTTTGCACACTTCGAAATAACTATTTTTAATGTACTAGCACAAATTCACATAGCATTGCATGATTTATACATTATACCAATAATTTATTGGGCCATGACCCACATGTATAGTCGGTTCCTGTTAGGACCACTAGGGGGCTCTGCTGGAAGGGTTTTACAGTTAATTAGTCCATTTACGGGAATGTTTCGAGATGATGTTTTAGATTTCTAAACTCTTAAAACTTGAAAGAGATCATCTCTTCCAGCTTCCTTATTTTGCAGAAGAGGAAACCAATAGAGCTGGTATGGAGGAGAGCTGGAATTTAAAATTCTCTCTTGGTTCCCGCGGCAGGAGTTCAATAAATTCTTTTTTGCCATGTGCCTCCACTGAATGATTCACCCCCAGTGGCTATTTTCTTTTCTACTGCCACAATTTTAGTAATTTTTGCTAATACGGTGTATTTATGATATTCTTCTAATAGGACACTTTACTGATTGGTTAGGTGAAAGAAATGCCAGAAATATAAACTTCTAAATAAACGTTATTACTTATTACAAAATGTTCTCTATTCAAAGCATCCCTCAGCATCAAAACCATATTAGTTACTGGAAGCCCTAGCAACCACTTTCAAATTTACTTTCCACTTAAAACATTTTACTCTCTTTTTTTTTTTTTTTTTTTTTTTTTTTGCGGTACGCGGGCCTCTCACTGTTGTGGCTTCTCCCGTTGCGGAGCACAGGCTCTGGACGCGCAAATGCAGTGGCCATGGCTCACGGACCTAACCACTCCGCGGCATGAGGGATCTTCCCGGACTGGGGCACGAACCCGCGCCTCCTGCATCGGCAAGCAGACTCTCAACCACTGCGCCACCAGGGAAGCCCCATTTTACTCTTATCTTTACTCATTTATTCATTCAATATTTATTGACTGCCTACTAGCTCCAGACACTGTTGTAGACCCTAGGCTTACAGAAGCTGCCCTTCGTCCCCAAGAAACATCTAATTCTCCATTGTTCACTTTATAAACTATTTTTACAGGGCTTAGTTCAGTGGTTCTCATAGTGTGGTCCCTGAACCAGCAGCAGGAGCAGAAGCACCCGGGAACTTGTTAAAAATGCAAATTATTAGGCCCACACTACACTGCAGCAATCTTTTTTTTTTTTTTTTTTAAACAAGCTCTCCAGGGATTCTGATGTACATTCAAGTTTAAAAACTATGGTTTTAGTTCCACGGCTTGGCATCAATTATCTAAGTAGGTCAAAGATCAACATCCGGCTTCTGAACTCTCAGGCATCTCCGTGGAGTAAGCGGTCTTAGATACAACTGAGACCCAACAATGACCACACTTAATTTAATGATTTGTTGTACCTGGAAAGATCCTGGGATGATTGTAGTAACAGTATTATAATGGCTTCAGAACAAAAACGAACCGCAGTGGATTTTCTTTACCAATAGAAAATGGGTCGGACTGAGTTCCGGGACAGTGTTTTCAGACACTAGACACACACGGCTACATTAATCCCGTGGGTTCTGGGTCTGGCTGAGTCAGGGCGGCGCTCTGAGCTGAGTGGGGCCGCATGAACCGGTCAGGTTGGATTCGAACCTTCGGTTAGAGGCTAAATTCTGGAAGCCTCGACCATATCACATTGGTTCGTACAGAGGAGGAGGCGCCGGAGAAGACCGCGGAGGCCTGGGTAGCGCCGGCCGGCGCAGAAGCCGCACCCTCCTGGCCCCAAACGCCGGCAGGGCGGAGCCACGCGGCCGCAGCTCGGGCACAGACGCGAGGCGCGGCGCGGGCTCGCGACTGTGGCGTAAGGGGCTACGACGGCAGCGGCTGCGCCGCCCGGCCGTGTCAGCGTCGTGCGCATGCGCGGACCCGGCGCCATTTTGGTGGCCGGGCGCGGAGGTGATTCCACGCTCAGGAGAGCGCGGCGGCAGGGGTGGCGTTGGCAGCGTTCGTGTGCTCCGGTGTGACTCGCAGAGGGAGGAGGCGGTGGAGGAAGAGGTGGCGGCGGTGGCGGTGGTCGTAACGGTGGCGGAGGAGGCGGGTACGAATCAGCTGCGGGCGGAGACATGGCCAACATCGCGGTGCAGCGAATCAAGCGGGAGTTCAAGGAGGTGCTGAAGAGCGAGGAGGTCAGAAATGAACTCCCGGACGTCCCCCACCTCAGCCCAGGGCGGGAGGGCCCTTCCAGTGGCGACCCCAATATCCCTGGTAACCCCAGGGTGGCCTTCTTTGCTGCCACCCTTCTGCTTGTGGGGAAGCAGCAGTCTCCCCCTCCTTCCGCCGTTTTCCCCTCCCCTCCCAGGGCCCTGGGATGGACGGTCTCGCGGGCGGGTGGTTTGGGGAGGAATACGGCTAGGGGGGCGGGTGGAGGAGGGGCGCTCATCGGCGGGGTGTGAGCTCTAGAGAGAGCCCCAAGGCACTGGCAACAGCTGGAAGTGTGGCTGTAGGGTGGGGAGGGAGCAGGCCGAGCCTGAGAAAGCCCGGGAGGTGGGTTGGGGGAAGGGGAAAGGTGGTAACTGGATCCGGAGAGCCGCGCTGCCCGAAGGCCCACTGTTTTTAAGGGTATTCTGGGTTATAACTGGTCTGGCCGCCACGGTCCTTTCCTTAAGGAAGGAGCGATGCGAGTCCTTAGGTGTTGATGAAAGAAGGACGTTCAGAGTTACTCCTCAGTTCGGTATTGGGAAAGAAGAGAAGGCATAATGAGGTGCTGTCTTCTTTGAGTTGGGGGGGATAAGGGAATTTTCACCTGAGATAGGAAATTAATTCCATATTAGACCGTTATCTCATTTCTGCTTACCCCGACATCTAGGCCTCTTTTCGATCGACATCTAAAGCTTTTTGACTGGGTAAAGGCAAGTTGTTTGGTGTATTAAAGGCATTTAAATATTTTTAGCTAGGATTAGGATAAAATAATGGAGTGTACGAGAAGCTTATTTCAAAATACTGTCTACAAGTTACAGAGTGTCCCAAGACAGTGCCTCTGTGACACTGTTGTGTTGTGCCATGAAACTTCGCTATGATGTCCCTCATAGTTAACTTCATTATGATGTCCCTCATAGTTAACTTGATTCTTACTTTTGAAGAACATCCCTATTAAAAAACGAGGTTTCAGCAGATTAACACATTGTTATATTTCACTTTTAAGTAAGTAGGTTTATCCCAACATATTTATATCTGAAATGATTAAAAAATTTTTTGTCTTAACCTGCTCTTGAGTCCTTTGGAAATTTTAGATACTCTTGTATTAGCCGCACTTATTAATGTAAGATATTTAAAGTGTTTTAGTAATTTGACTCAAAATTATGAACGGATCAGTACAGTTTTTTTTTCATACCCAAATCAAGAAGAATGCTAGGTTGTTTTCCTCCTTGGATTCAACAAAGAGAGATTAAAAATACTGACTGGTTATTTTCAAGATGTCATGTATCATTATTGGATGTATTATTGCTATTTGTATTTTACTCTTACATTGGTACTTTAATGATCTTAATGATTTGTGAAATTCAGCATTCTAAGTATGTGATGAGTTATTAACATAAGTCTGATAGCAGTTGAACTTTATTTGAGTCTAAAGTGATTATGTATTTTTCCAGTTAGACATGGAGAAAATTCTTTAAAATTCTTTGAAAATGCCAAATTCTAGCAGATTTATTGAATGTAATAGTATATAAGTAATGACTGGTTTTACAGAGCATGTGTATGTACTCTGACCTCTGTATTTGTTCAAGTGCCAAAACTCTGAATGGAAGGATGACTTTGTATTTTTGTGGTACAGTGCAGAAAAAGAGTCGTAAATGCCTGTACTGATATACAGTGAAACAGTGATTCTAAGTTTTTCTCTAATAAGAAAATATATTCCAGGACAGTTGACATATATCTTCCTAGTGAAAGTTTGCAGCTAATATTGTTGCCAGTAGCCTAAAACATTTCTTCTGTGATACAGTTGTACAAGCTTGACACTTAATATAAGACTTTAGTGCGTTATTTTCTATTAATTAAAGGTGGTAAGTTACTGCTCTCATAATTCATATAGTCTCTGCATTATGTGAGTTGACTTTTCACCATGGTATTCTTAGTACTTAAATTTATGCTTAAAAGAAATCTTGTATTGCTATAGTAATGCATATTGTTAAAATAATACAGCTCTATGTTAAGTAAGGGATGATGAAGCCTTGCTTCAAGTGACATAGTGTTTCAGAGGAAGAAAACAAAATACAAACAGGCAAATTACTTTTTTAAGAACAGTACCTTTATAAATCTGGAATGAAACTTATTCCAGAAAGTAAGTTAAAAGAACATTTAGGAAAGGGTCAGATATTGGAATATATAACCAGTAAATAGCTTTATTTTCGCCAATATTTTATTTAATTGATATTTTACTAGGTCCAGTTCTATAAGTGGATTATGTTGATTATTTTCAACTCATTGAAGAACTCGTAGTACAGTCCACGTGTTTCCTTTTTATGTATGTAAATGCAGTATTTGAGTGGCTGGTCAAGTAATCAAGTATTTCCTCATGTAAATCTCCATTTTACCAAAGTTTATTTCATATGCTTGTGTTTACTAAGACTCCTGATTGATTTTAAGGATTTTATTTTCCCCTTTTAAGTGCCTTAGTAAAGATAGCTGACATTTGCTGAATTCTGGCCATAAGAAGTTGTAAGTGGCCACTGTTGGAGTGTGTTGTTAGTTAAAATGTAGCCTCCAAGATAAATTAAATGTGAAAAGCACAGTGCAGAATAGTGGGAGGAGGCCACCATTTGTGTCAGAAGTGGGAGAATAGGTGTATTTGTCTGTATAGGTGAAAGGATTAATGAGAAATTGGTAACATTGATTGCTTCTCTGTCATTGGGTGTCTTGGGCAACAGGCATCAAAAGATCCCTTTTGAATTTTGAGTCATGCTAATATGTTATTTACTCAAAATAAATAAACCATGTAGGCCTTTTTTCCTGAAACTGTTTGGAAGTCTGTCCTTTATGTGTCAGGTTTATTTAAATCTGAGTGTGAATTTTAAGTAATGTTTCAAAGTTGCTAGGCATGGAAAATTGATTTAAAGTACATTTTATGGTTATTTTTTGAGTTGAATTACATAAATGAGTTGTTGCTTACGAGGATAGAATAAAACTATAATCTGCATTCATAGGTTGTATTATTATTTACTATCAATTATTATTGGTATTAACAATTAACCACCATTTGTAGAGGAGCTCTCAGTTCCATTTGTTTATATACATTATTGCTAATTCTCAAGAACAGGTCTTTGAATTAGATTTCTTATTTCTTAGATGAGAAAATTGAGATTCAGAGAAGTTAAATTATTTGTCCGCAAATGTATAGCTTTGAGATGTAGATCTAAGTCTGCTTGTGTTTATATTGTACCATGCTGTCATGACTTGCCAAAGGTAGGCATACTTTTAATTATTTAAAAATAATTGAACCTGGTTTGTATTACTGATTGAAGGATTTAAACACAACCTAATTTGTTAGTTTAAACATTAAAATAAGTGTTACCTGTAATTAAAGGTTTACTTGCATTTCAATATGGAAAATATTTTTAAATTTGATGTTCAGTGAAGTAAAATGCCCTTAAATCAGTGCACATACTCTTGCTTGTTCTTGTGCTGTATGGTACCTGTAGTTTTTTTCATATTGTAGCTGCACTTTGCTAACTAGGATTTTCTAGGATTCTCATAGGGAATATTTAAATCTATGGCATTAACAAATTGGTTTCACGAAAATTACTATTGTATACGTTTTCCTTAAGGATTTAAATGGATTTTTGTATCTTTTATTTTAAATTTTATATATTTGATTATTCTGTGTAGAACTAGTTGCAAATCTTTAGAAGAAAGTCTCTTGATTTCTGTAGACCATGCAACCTTGGCACTATGTGGGGCATGTGGGGCAGATAATGAATTCTTTGTTGTGGGTGGCTCTCCTGTGCATTGTAGGATGTTTAGCACTATCCCTGACTAATAGCACTAGATGCCAATAGCACAGGCAATCCTCCCTCCACCTCCCTACCCTCTCCCTGCCAATCATATCAACTAAAAATGTCTCCAGACTTTGCCAAATGCTGAGAACCACTGCTGTAGACAGAACTCTTTAGAAGAACATTTAAGACTGTTAACTAGGTAGGATGTGTAGTATAATTTCTCTAAAAGATGAATGAACGGGAAGTAAAGGTACAAAAAATTATATAGCATGGCTACTACTAGGTTTGAATGTTCTGTTTTTGTTTTAAGACTTTGCCCCTTATCAATTAATTATCATCATTTTCTTTTAAACTTTTTCCTTTTTGATTTAAGGAAAAAGCTGAAATTTCCTGCTATAAACTAATGTTACCAGAATTTGAACAATTTTTTACTAATAGAAAAGTGGTATGTTTTTACAGCTATGTAAATTATAGTTCAGTTTAACTTATTTAGATAGTGTGCCTTAAGAGGTTCTGGGTGTAGGTTGAGCAAGGAAAGTATTATAGATTTGAGGTAAAAAAAACACAGCAACTTAAAAAGCCTGTCCAAGTAATACTCTTTGGGGTGCATTTCTCTTCTTCTCTCTTTTTTTTTTTTTTTTTGGTTATTATAAAGGCTTTGATCCCTGTCTATCAGGCACAGAGTTAGATGCATTTGGGATCCCTTTGCAGGTCACCCCTTTGTAAAGAATATATATTATTATTTCTCAGTAAATATGTTATCAGCAGTTATTGAGCATATTGACAACAGCCCTAAAAGACTTAACCTGGTTGGAGGTAGATAAAAATGTTAGATGCAAAGAATCAATGCTATGGGAGTTCTAAGGGTATGTGTATGTAGGGAGGTTCTTGAGCTAGGTTCCAAAGGAAAAGTAAGACTGACTTCGAATTTCAGGAGACACTAATAAAGGAATTCCAGGAATACTGTAATTTACAAGTAAATGATCTCTTCTGTAGATGCCTGAACTGGAACTAGGGAGCAGGGTTATGGACAAAATTAGGCAAGAAACACATTTTTATATATATATGTGTATATATAAATATATATATTTATATATTTATTTTAGCATCTTGTTTGGAGTATAGTTGCTTTACAGTGGTGTGTTAGTTTCTGCTTTATAACAAAGTGAATCAGCTATATATATATACATATA